TCTCCCTTACCCTAAATCCTACAGCTCTGTGGGCTGCCAGGGCCTAACAGAGACCACACAGAGCCCCACCCCTCTCCAGCCTCAGTCCCCACAGGGCTAAGTTCTCTGCTAACTCTGACATTAGAATTCCATGAGCAAGGGCTGTGCTACCCCCCCACCAACCCCCACCCCAACCCCTGGGTCAGCTGAAGGTCGAGGTGGCCTGTGACAAAGCCCCTCCCCTGGGCAGCTCCTCTGGTTCTTGCGGAGCCCCGGCTTGAGTCCCTGCTTGCTTACGGCTCACTAGGGAGAGGCCCGGGCCCAGCCCCACAGCCAGGCCTCAGCCCGACCTGCCACGCTCAGCTCCCCTCACTGGCTGCCATCCTTCCTGAGGGAAGAAATAACCTAAGGGGTTCTTGGCCAGCTCAGTAAGAGCAAAGCCATTAGACTCTTTCCCTGGCAGGACTGCCAGGTGTATAAAGGACCCACAGTGTGGACTTTTTTTTTTTTTTACTTGGCTGTGGAAAAGGGCAAAGCTTCTTCATGACAATACCATGTTGCAGAGGATTGGCCCCGTACAAGGAAAAAATAGATCCTGATTCCCAGAGAGCACAGAGAGCTCCTGTCATTGTGTTAATTATCTGTCCCAGTGCAGGGTGGGAAGGGCAGGGGAAACATCTGGACAAGGCCAGACTGGTCACTTGGCATGGGCAAGAGCGTCACAGCACCAGGGAAGCAGCGATAACAAGTGGAGCAGGCAGCCCCCATCAGAGGAAAGGACAGCCCTCGGGGTCGCCTGTGGGGAGGATCTGCTGAGGGAGGCCTATTCCTGGCTGGCTACAGGGAGAGAAGACTAGGGCAGAGATGGGGTTCCCACCCAGGGAAAGATGCAGAGGGAAGACGAAGCTGCTGTGCCAACCAGGGGCCGCCCGGTCTGACGGAGGAGTCACTTCCTACCCCTCCCCTCCCCCCCAGCCACGGCTGCTCAAGCAACCCCAAATAAAAACTACCTCATAACTAAGGGAGTTGGAGCCTCCTGCATCCTAATGACTGACTTTTAAATATGGCCACACCCTTCCCCCACCCTCCACCCCCACCCCCGCCACACACACACAGCCAAAGCAGACTTCCCCAGCAGCCCCACAGGTCTGGGGTTGGAGCTGGAGCCGAAACTTAGGATTGGACCCAGGACCCTTATGGCCTCAGCTGCTTCCTGAGGAGCAGTCACATCTGGAAACCAGTGGGGAGAGGGGTCACGTGCACAGGAATGTACACGCTATCTGGAGGCTGAGAGATGAATGGAAACCCTCAAAAACCATCCCAAACTTAAGCCAGCAGGCCCCATTTTCCCTCAGGTGCCTCTCCGAGTGCCCCCAAACCCATCACCCTCCAGGGGATCTCAGGCCACCATGATGAGTCAGGCAGAAGACTATAGTCCCAAACCTCGGTGGTCCTGGGCCACAGGCCTCTTGGAAGCCCTCCATAAAATCAATGGCCCAGGTCTGACCAGGGCCGACAAAGCCTCTCAGGGTGCCACAGTTAGCAGCCTGCCCAATAGCTTTACTCTTTGGGATGGAAAAAGACAAACTAGTCCCGACCCAAATTAAGCCCAGACTCAGGCTTCCCAAGGGCTCTAACCATCAATCTGATGGGCCCAAGATGGGGGTTCTTTATAGCAGGGACTCTCTTACCCACACATAACACCCCCTCCACACAAAGTACCCACCAAGGCTACTACTGGAGATAAAAACCAGAAAGGAAATAGTGGAGAAGCATCTTGGGATTTTCAGACCCATGATGATCCATGTATGGCTTAACTGAGGGGAGACGGTTATAACGAGTTTCCTCATGTATTGTTAAATTTTGCTTTGAGAATTTCCTCTTTAGTTATTTGGAAGCCTCTGGTGAAATCCCTCACCTCAAAGAGCACCCCTTGACAAAGGAGTATCAGGGGCTGTTGAAGTGTCTCGCACCACCCACCCCACCACCATCATCGTGCAAAGCAGGGTCCTCAGAGTAACCACAACACCCACTCTTTGAAGGCTTGCTCTAGGTCTGGAACTATACTAAGGCCTTTACAGACACGGTCTTATTTAATCTTATAATTCCATAATTATTATTGTGGCCTTTGTAGAAAGGAGGAAACAGGTTAAGTAACTTGCCTGCTAGTAAGTCACAGAACTGGGAATGAAAGCCATCTCCACTTTCAGAGACACTGGGCGGTCCTGCCTTCCCGAGAGGGCAGGGGCAGCTCCAGCCCAGGCTGCTGGGGAGGGCTGCAAGCTGACCCAAGCCTGGCGTGAGCACTGAAAGGCCTCCCAAGCCCAGCCCTAGCTCTCAAACCTCTAGCAGCCAAGAGAATGGAGGCCTGCAAAGGGCCAGCCTATTTCATCAGGAGCTCTCCTACTGCTGTATGTACTTTGCCACCCACGGTACTGGGGCTTTCCCAGACTCAGGCTCTAAGTTCTGTATAGTCTCCCCACCCAACCCCATCACATGAGAGGCTCTTCAAGGATAGGGGACATCTTCCTGACCAGAGCTACCAGACACTGTTACCAAAAACCTCCCTCCACCATCACTGCTATTCAGTGACCAGCAGCCACGCCTAGGTGCTTTAACTGCATTCTCATTTCAGGCCTTACATCAATCTTGTAACACTAGCCCCATTTGACAGATGGGAAAACTGAGGCACCAAGAGTTTACCTGACTCACCAGAAGGCGAGTTTGAGACCGGAATCTATTTCTTGCAACTCCACAGCCCCCTCCTTGTAACCATGAGGCTGCCCTTCCCCAGTCAGGTTCTGTCTTGGCGACACAGGGCTGCCATCTGTCTTCCCAGAGACCACCACAGCTGGCTCCTGGCGTTAGAGTGAATACTGTTCTTTTCCACCATTATCCAAAGCTGACGAGGGTACACCCTGGTCCTCTCCATCTTGCCCTCTCTCCACTGGGTAATGTGGAGACTCACTATCTTAGTAGCTCACTCCAGGGTGCTCCCAGGAAATGTCACCAGGAGTGGCCATTAAAATCAGAGGTGGGAGGTGGGGGCAGCCTCCACCCTCTGTCAGTAGGTACACTGTGAGGTCCTGGAAGATCAGGCAGATTTCACGGACTTTTCCTCTGCCCACCAGAAATGCCCCTCTCCTCTCCTGCCCCCTCCAGGTTCTATAAATTACCCAGGTCAACGCAACAGAGGAAAGCAGCGGGTAGGTGCAGAAAGATCCTGGTGGGAAAGATGACTTCTATAAAGTAAATTAAGGCTCCCCTTCAGATCAAGGGGTGGCAAGTCAAATTTTCCAAGAGGGACTGTCCTTGGCCGAAAATAGGCCCACCTGGGCCTACAAGCACTGACAGTTCAACTAAGGAAGATCCAAAGGCCAAGAAGAAGGGCAAGGGCAGAAACTGAAAAAGAATCAAAGCTCCCCCCACCCTAAGTCACTGACTTCACAAATCACAAAGGCCTTTCCCCACAAGCCTGTCGTCCCGGTCCCTCAGCCACCAGGGGTGTCATCTACCAGTCTGGTCAGATTAGCTGAGTGGTGGAGACTGAAGGACTAGGAAGGAAAGGGGTGGAATGAATTTGGGGACAGGAGCCGCTTTGGGAAAAGAAAGGGCTAAGAGACCCAAAGGAGAGCTTTCTGCCCCACCCCCAGCCCCTTGGCTTCCCTCAGCCAGAAAGGAAGGAGAGGACAGAAAAGGGGAGGGGAAAAAAACAAAACAAGGGCCAAACTATACCACATGATTCCACACCCAGCAACCAAACAGCAAGTCAGGAGAAAAGGAGAGGAAAAGGCCAGGGGCGGGGGAGATGGAGCCAGGTCACAGCCCTGCCTGGAACCTGCCCTACGCTAACCAGCTTCCCACTCCAGGCCGCAGAGCCACCAACGCCCTTTTCTACACATGTTTTGAAAAATGTTCAAGGTCAGATCCTTTCTAACCAAATCCTTCTCTCCTATGGGTCTGCACCAGGCTCATCCTTCTCCTCCAACAAGCCTTCCTAGATTTACTCAGATGCCATTCCACATGGGCAAACCTTTCCAGCACCTGTCCCCACCTAGGACACGCCCCTGCCCCCATCCCCTTACCCTCCCCATCCATGGCCCACTGGGTCCAGGGGAGGTTTCACCCCAGTTAACCCTTTAAATGATCCACAGCAGGTGGTCAGCCCTGGGGACTGGCTTTCAGATCCTGCCCAAGTCCAAACAGGAAATGGGGCTCCAAGCCTGAAGCCTTGATCTTCACACTGGGAAGGTTAAACACTGCCAAGATAAATGATTAAAAAACGCACAGGCCCTTCTAGTGGAAGTGGCTGGGAGATTATCTCCTGCTGTGCATTAACCATGACGCTGCCTTCACCTCAAGCAGGACAGGCAGGACACTTGAAGGCTGACTGAAGGGTTTCCTTCCTTTAGTTAGGAGGCTCTCCTGCTTTCAGAACAGGGACACAGAGGGGCAGGGTTCCAGAGGCGTCTGTCTCTAGGTGGCAGAGGGCATCCAAATACCAGGCAAAAAGCAGATGCCCTCTGCAGTCTCCAGATTTGGTGGGGCATCTCAGGTCAATCTCGCCCTCAAGTAGAACACTGCACCTTCCTTCCCCCACTCCCCGCGGGCCCGGCTTGGGGCAGGCGGCTGCAGTGCCCCTCCCCTTCCAGGAAAGGGAGACAGGCCCGGAGGCCCTAAGAATGGCCCCCCAAATTTTCCTTCTTGAGGTTTCCACAGTCCAAGGGCCTCTGGATCCCACTCCTAACTTTACTTGACAATCTACTCCTAAAGCTAGGCCACCAATCATACCTCCCCCTAGGCTTCGCAAGGACACGCCAGCAACCAAACACAGACTGTCGCAAGGAAGGGGATCAGAAGGGGACCCAAAATGCAAAAGAGCAACTGGTCGGTTTACGCCCTTGAGCTCGCGGCAAAGGGCGCACCGCCCCGGCCAGAGGTTCGGGGTCCCGCTCCCCCGCCAGCCCCGCCCAGCGAGCTCTCCTCTAACCGTTTCCGCGCCCTCGGCGCCCCTCACTCACTGCGTATGCTGGGCGCGGCCTGCGCCGAAGACCTCATCCAGCGCCACCGTGGCCTGGCCCAGGAACTTGTCGACGCCGATGAGCGAGCGGTGCATGGTGGTGAGCACCAGCTGGCAGGCGGCGGCGGAGCCCGCGGCCCAGGGAGCCGGGCCCGCATCGGCCTCCTGCGCCCGCAGCAGGCCGTCCAGGGCACCGGGCGGCAGCTCGAAAGAGCACTCCTCACGCCACTCCGGGCAGCCCGGCGTCTTCTCCACCACCGACGTGCTGTACTTCTCGCGGCCCACCTGGATCACCGTGTACGCGTCGCTGGTGCTGCCCGCTCCCGAGCTCTTGCCCCGCAGCCCGCGGGCCCGCAGCACAGTCACCTGGACGTGCGTGGGTAGCCAGCGGGAGGGCCCCGCCGCGGGCTCGGCGCCCCGCACCAGGGCCATGGCGGAGGCGGCGGCGGCGGACGAGGCCGGCAGACGCGGGCACAGACACGGGGGCCGTGAGAGGAGCCGGGCAGCGGCGGAGGGCGGTCAGGAGCCGGCTCCGAGCGCCACGCCGCCGCCGCCACCCGGCCGCCGCTGCTGCGGGCTGGGCTGGGCCGAGCTGGCAGCCACCTCCCCGCCTCCCCGGCCGCCGGCCGCGCCGCGACGTCAGCGCCCCGCCTCCCGCCCCGCCCCGCGACCCAGACCCGCGAGGCGGTGCGGCAGTGCGGCGGTGCGGCGGGGGCGCTAGCTGTCGCGCCCCGGCACCGGCCTCCGCACACCCGCCTGCAGCTGAAGAGGGCGACGGGGACCGAGGGGTGGGGCGTGCGGCCTCCGCAGAGGGGTGGGCGGGGCTCCCGCGTTGGCCCCGCCCCGGGCTGGGGGCGCCCGCGGAACCCCACCTCGCTTGCGGGAGCTCGGCACCCTCTGCCGGGTATGAAAAGCCCGCTCCGCGTCTCCTGGCCAATCCCAAATCTTTCTTCGAGATGTCCCTGCTCCGAAAGCCCTGCCCTAAAACTGTCCCGGCCCGCCCCTCCTGGGATGGCCATCCCCTTGGCTCGGGCAAGTGGGTGTGGGGCGGGACCCCGCTACCCCCCTCATCTCGAGCCGCCCTCCGAGTCCTCCAGTCCGCCCCTGCCCGGGAAGATGCTGCGTGAAACCAGAACTGAGTCCCCCTCCGGCACGTGACAGTCGCGCATCAGCGAGCTGGAGGCCGGTGAGCTGCCGCCGCTTCCAACCTCCGCGCGCTTCAGGATCCCAATGATGCGGCGAGACCGCGGCCGCGGGAGGCCGGAGGGCTGGGCTCGCCCTCAGCGGACACTGCGGTGGAGAGCCGGGTGATGAATAAATAAGTAGCCACATCATTTAAGCTGGGGCTCCTGCGTCACCGGTTGGCGGAAATTATGGGCTCAGGAGAGAGGGTTTGAAACAATCCTTTCCACCCATTAAGTGCCTACTATGTGCCTCTCTGCAAATCACAGTGTCTTAACGCTTGGTTTATTATTAATAATGATAGCAATGGTTAGTAATTATAGATGCTGAATTTCGGCCAATGCTGGCCCATGTACTTTATATACATTACCTCACTTTATCCTCAGAGCAACCCTCTGGGTGAGTGTGATTTTTTTTTTTTTTTTTAAGATTTTATTTGACAGAGAGAGAGACAGCGAGAGAGGGAACACAAGCAGGGGGAGTGGGAGAAGGAGAAGCAGGCTTCCTGCGGAGCAGGGAGCCCGATGCGGGGCTCGATCCCAGGACCCTGGGATCATGACCTGAGCCGAAGGCAGACGCTTAACGACTGAGCCACCCAGGTGCCCCGTGAGTGTGATTTTTATTCCTGTTTTCCGGAAGATTAAATTGCAGCTTAGAGAGGCTAAACTGCCCAAGATCCAAAATTGGCAAAGGTGGTACGTGAATCCACACAGATGACCCCATAGCCTGTACTTTTAAAATCATAATTTTTAAATATAGGACAGAAGCACTTATGATGAAAAGCAAAAGTCTCCCTCTCACCCCTGGATCCAAAGAAAATCCACTTACGGTTATTGGGGTTTTCAAGCCTGGTGGGTACCTCCATCTCTCTACCTAAAATGTTTACACAGATGGATTTAGCAGGAACGCCATTATCTATTGCCTTCCTGCTGTGATAGATGGTATGTCTCACACCCACTTCCCTCCCTCCATTTTGTGTGATTATCCTATTATTTTTAGTTCCTCTATTGGTTACCTTTATGGTGGAAACCTGTGTTTCTTCCTGGGAAGACTCTCTGCAGTACCCACCTTGACTTCCCGTGCAGTGAAAGAGGAAGAATCCCAACTCTGCTGGCCATGTTCTCCAGCAGAATATGGATGGAGGGAACCAGTCACTGGGGATCCGGGGGAACACACCCACCACAGGCCCAATCCTGACAGCCTGCCACCTTGCCCCTGCTTTCTGAAAACTGGGGTGGAGGGGTCCTGGGCACTGAGCCCCACGGTCCAACAGGCCTGTGCATAGCACCTATCTTTGGGACGGCCAGATCTGCCTATGGACTGTGGCTGTCTGCCACTTAGCAGCAAAAAGACCTGAAGATTAAACCAGTTCTCTAATCTCTACCAGCCTCATTTCCTCATCTAGAAAATAGGGATAATGATGCCTACTTCAAGCAGTTGCTGAAAAGATTGTGTGAGAAAATATGGTCAAAGGTTTTAATGCAGTGGAGACCATCACAAATGATCTCAAGGCATGTGAACATCATACACAGCTTTTCTTTTGATTATAAAAGTAACTTGGAAAATACAGAAAAATATAAAGAAGGAAAAACAAATAGATCATAACCTCACCATCCAGAAATAAACACTTAACAGTTTGTTGTGTTTCTATCGAATCTTTTCACTACACTCTGCTGTTGATTTGTATGCGTTATGGTTGTGAGGCAACTGTGATGGGCTTTGGAGTCCTGGTTCTACCGTTACATGTATTGTCTCGTTGACCCCTAAAGACAACCATTTTAAGGCAAGTGCTATTGCTACCCTCAGCTTGGGTGACTTTCTCCAAGTTTCTAACTGGCAAATCGCAGAGAATGGACTTGAACTCAAGTCTGAGTGATTATTGCCTGTGGCACTCTGCTCTCACACTAGCCTGTTGGTCGTATAGGCACTGCATCATTTGGGGCTGATAAAGCAGGAAATGTTGTCATACCCACTTCACAGATGAAGAAATTGAGGTATAAAAAATGTTAACCGACTTAACCAGGGTTGCACTCAGGATGAAGCCCCAACTTTAAGAATGGATTCCCTGGGGCGCCTGGGTGGCTCAGTTGGTTAAGCGACTGCCTTCGGCTCAGGTCATGATCCTGGAGTCCCGGAATCGAGTCCCGCATCCGGCTCCCTGCTCGGCGAGGAGCCTGCTTCTCCCTCTAACCCTCCCCCCTCTCATGTACTCTCTCTCTCTCATTCTCGCTCTCTCAAATCAATAAATAAATCTTAAAAAAAAAAAAAAAGAATGGATTCCCCAAGGGCTGTGCAAATGAAGACATCCTTACCAAACTGCAACTAACATATATTAGTCACCCTTCTTTAATGGTTCCATTTCATCTGCTTCCTAGTTCTCTAACATGACTAGGCGACTAGGCGGCTGCCTCCTCCCCCCTCCCCCCAACCTCCCCCATGGAGTAGCAAGGCTGCAGGAAAAGGGCAAAAGAGAACTCAGATGGGCTACTCCCGCTCTCCTTCCTCCTGCCCTGGCCCACGCAGTTTGGCAAGCTCAGGCTTCTTGCTGGCCTGGGATTGCAGCCATAGGAGGGCAGTGAAGCCAGGCAGGGCTCCCCTGCAGGTCACTTGGCCCTAGGAGGAAGGGGCGGGGTCTTTTAGCTATCTGTGGTTGAGAAAAGAGCAGAAAACTCTGAAGACACTAAAGTCTTGACCACCCAGGGGTGTTTCCTCCTCAAAAAATGAGACCACCAACACCCCCATCCCCTGCAGCCTGCCATGAGGGTTAGTCAGAGGACACTCTGGCTTCCTCTGCCTCCCTAGGGCTGGGTGTGCTCATGCCTTCCTGGGCCTCTCTAGTCCATTAGGGATAGTTCTTGCTATAAAAAAAGTGCTCCTTTGTGTAATTTCCACTTGTTGCTTCTCTCTGCAGTACCATAAAAGCCCATTCACCCTTCCACATAGGTACTTCAGATATCTTTGCCTGGCTCTTTAGGCTACATTTCTTCCTGTTCTTTACCTCTCCTTTCCAGCATCTATTTTCTGGGCCCCTCACCATAATAGAGTCACACAACCCAGGTTCAGATTCTAATGCCACCACTCCCCAGCATTATAAACTTAGGAAAATCACTAAATTCCACTAAGTCTCAGTTTCTGCATCTATACAATGGGCCTAATAACAGAAGTCGACTCATAGGGTTAATATGAGAGCTATCTCAACACACACTAAGCAGTAATGAGTATTATCACCTTAGAAATCTTGGCCGAAAGCAAAAGCTTGTACATCCTTGTTTCTTTTGCATTCCTCTGATTGCCAATGAGATTGAACATTTTTTCAGTTATTAGTCATTTATATTTCCTTTTACTGAATTGTCTATTCTCTGAATTGTCTATCTTCCATGCTCATTTTTCTTTGAAGTCTTAATTTCCTATTAATTTATATTAACGCTTTCTATGTTAAGAATAACACTTTGTCTTGGGCGCCTGGGTGGCTCAGTCAGTTAAGTGTCTGCCTTCGGCTCAGGTCATGGTCTCAGGGTCCTAGGATCAAGCCCCGCATTATCTGGCTCCCTGCTCAGCGGGGAGTCTGCTTCTCCCTCTGGCTCCGCCCCTCCCCCTGCTCATGCTCACGCTCTCTCAAATAAATAAATAAATATCTTTTTTTTTAAAAAGAATAACACTGGGTGCCTGGGTGGCTCAGTTGGTTAAGCAACTGCCTTCGGCTCAGGTCATGATCCTGGAGTCCCGGGATCGAGTCCCGCATCCGGCTCCCTGCTCGGCAGGGAGTCTGCTTCTCCCTCTGACCCTCCCCCCCTCATGTACTCTCTCTCTCTCTCTCTCTCATTCTCGCTCTCTCAAATCAATAAATAAATCTTAAAAAAAAAAGAATAACACTTTGTCTTTTATATTTTTTGCAAATAAGTTTGACAAAGTAAGTTATGTGGTCAAATCCTTGTATTTCCTCTATTGTTTCAAGGTTAAGTTCTTCCACACTCACGGGTCCAATAATATCCACTCATATTTTCTCTCACTTTTAAGTTGTTTGTCTTTTTCTTTGTTCTTTCATTATCTTTCAATTCTTCTACATACTATTTTAGTGAGTGATTTGAAAATCTAACCCTCCCGCCCTCAACAACAGTCCATGCTTCCCAATACTTATTGCAAAACACTATCCCTTTGCCATTGGTTTTCTCATATACATTCTTATATATACTGTAGACAGAGTCTGAATTTTGTGTTCTATTCCACTGAGATTTCTATCTTGCTGCCAGTGCCATTCTGTTTTAATTGTCATTGCCCTTTTAATGCATTATTAAAATAGAAGAGCAAATCTTCACTCATTTCTTTTTTTCAAAGATTTTATTGCTACTCTCACACATCTTAGGTGGATGTGTATTCATCCACCTAAGATCTAATGCTTTTTGGAATTGTAAGAGAAATTGTTATGAGAAAAATTGGCATCATTACAAACAGTAACCATTTAAAATCATGGTATACTCCCTAAAATTTGGAATAAGATAAGGATGTCCTCTCTCCACTTCTATTCAATATTATGTTAGAGGTTATAGCGAGGGCAATTAGGCAAGA